ACTTCGAGAGACGGACGCAGTAAACACTGATCTCGAGTCGGTTTTCGGTGAAAATACCAGATTTTCACCGCTCATTATCTCAGCGTAGAGGCATCGTAGGGACATGCGGTTTGTTTTATATGAACAAGGTAAGACAGCTAATCAATAATACTGCAAAGGATCGTCAAAATAAAACGGGAAAAGTTTATTAATTCGACTAATACTGCAGCATGGTTTCAGCATTTTACCATTGTACGCTCTCCTTCTTTATCTGCTCTTGATGCTATGTTTAATTTGAGAAACGTCACAAAGGTACGAGGCTCTGCTCAGAACCATAGTGTGACTTGTGTGTGGTACGTAAGTCCTTGGACAAAGTCAGGACAAACCACGTAATGGTTGGCGATTGTTATGTGTGTTTTTTTGCTGCAGGCTAACGTCATGTTGGAGTATTCAACCGGGGAGGCTGAAACCCTGCTAGCTAAGAACCACCAGGCTGCGAATGAGAGTTTAGCTCAGATAGAAGAAGACCTTGATTTCATTCGGGATCAGTACACTACCACTGAAGTCAGTATCCTTTCTGCGACCATGTCTTGTTTCCGTTCAGTAAGAATGAAAAATTACTGCCATAAAATTGTAGAAGTGGAGCAAAACCATCCAGCAGAACCATCTAGCAGAACCACCAGAACCAATTGTTTATCAGACCACTCAGCGACTTTTTAACAACATTGTTCCTTGTTTAACCCATTACTTCGAAATCATTGCTCAAAAACGCACAATCTGAACAAAATATAGGGATATATAATCTCACTTCATAGCAGATATATTACTGATTACACCAACTTGATAAACACTAAGAATTTATGCTGTTATAGTATAGAAAATTGGAATTGAACACACCGTAACATCATGGCATATTTGATTATAGCGACAGTTAATTTGCAAATGGTGCCTCAAAACAAGTGGACCCATAGTGCACCTAATTCAAACAAAAGGGCATCTGATTTTGTGTAGTTTACTTCGTTTCTATTTTTAAATTGGACGATATCTCGTGCTATCGCGAGATAGTGCAAGATTCGCAAGAAATGGCGGCGGTAATCAAAACGAGTAATCAAAACTCGAATCGTGTATGTTTTGGTGAATATAGCCAAGTACGAAGGTTCTGAATCTAAGACATGTCAGCATTACTCTTGACAGCTGCTATTACACAAGCAATAACGGTAAGGCTCGTATAAGTGGGGAAAACATGAGGCTGGTTGGAAATTAATTTCGAAATACTGGCTTTAAACATGTTATGTCACAAGCTAAGGCTGTATATAATTCATTAGATTTATATACATTCATATAGATTTGTCTGAAATTATTTCCGTCAGTTTACGTATTGATTGAACTCACTTAAAGCCATTATTACGAGAGTTTTGCTCAGAAACCCCACAACCCCCCAAAAAAATAGTGAAATATAGTCTCACATCACAGCAGATATATCACTGATTACACCAGCATTAAAAAAACACTAAGATTTTAAGCAGTTATAGCATAGAAAATTGGATATGAACACATCGTAACAGCAATGCATTTCATCGTATCGTGATAATGGCAGAATTGGTAAACTTGTAAATTGGCTGTGATGAATTGAAAACAACTGCATTTGAGAGAGACTGTACTATGTCTATGGCAGATAGGCAGCAGTGCTATTACTACTAGCTAGTCCAATACTACTGGCTCTAGTTTCAAGATTACAGCAAATGATTGTTTACCAAACTAGTTCGAAAATTTCATGTTTTGGTGAATAAGAAGGTTCTAAGACATTTTATCGTTACTCTAGACAATTGCTGTTACTCAAGCAATAACGGTAGGTATCATGAAAGTGGTGAAAACACTGGAAAACTCTCGCAATAATTACTTTAGCCAGGGTTTTCCCCACATACAAGTGTAAGTATAGTACCTATTGAGCTTAAATTTATTTGGTTAAGTACCTTAACACCTAATTTAGACATGGCTAGAGTTTACAACTGGGATGTCAAAAGAAGACAAGCACTTGCAGGAACAGCAGCAAGTGCATCCGCATCCTAAGCAATAAAAGATGAAACTTGCTTTGCATATTTTCTTCTATTTCCTCTTGAATCACTGCTAGCCTGGTAGAAATGATTTTCCTTAGTTCAGCGCATCATAGTACACCTCTGCATGAACATGCATGGATGGCACATGCAGGCCTCTCAGTAATGCAGTAGGGTTGGTAGCAGTGTCATCTTATAACAGCTCACATACATCTAATGCCACTGAGTGTAATTTGCACGATGAGCTGTACACTTGGATTCTATCGATTCAGGAGTATACCCAAGCTTGTCTATTTTCTCATGGTTTATTTCACTCGTGATTGCCTCCTGCCTAAGTTGCCAGTGTAGTGGCGTTGGATTGCATGGTGGGGCAAAAATGTTTGTTAGAATAATAAGTTCATAATTCTGCCATTTGTATTTAAACCCCATGATTGATGGGTTAGTCGAGGTGTGTTAATACTTTTGAAAATTACATTGTAGCAATAAAGCTAAACACCGTGTTTCAAACAAGCACATGTACAGGTTTTGTAACAGTGCTTTTAATAAATGTAAATTATCACCTAGTAATTAATTCCTTATAATTATGCAGTTAACCATCCTCCTCCAAATTCGAATGGGTAATTTTCATTGTAAGTTATACATGACTGTCATGTAGCTTTTTGGTAGATAAGCTTGACTATTATTATGTTAAATATGCCCGTGCTTTGACTCTTGACATCTCCTAAAAACCTTGTGACATTAGATACATAATTGCGCATAGAAAACACAATTATGTTAAATTTGCATTTACTCAATCTGTGACAGACTATGAAATTCTGCTAAAAGCTTTGATAAACATAACACAATAAATGTATTTATGGACGAGTACATAGAAAGTATACATACAGCAACTTTTTACCCTGTAACTTTTGATTTTCACCACCATTGCGCATCCCTTGCACGGTATCTCTTTTACCGTAACATTACTTGTTTTACGTTGTACATACACCACTAGTAAGTGCACAGTAGACAATATTTATAATAACATACAAGATTTTGAAATGCAAATGCAACAGTTCTGTCTTTATTAATTATAAGGACATGTTCTCAGACAGAAAATTGTAACAAAAATTGCTTCACTAGTATTTTAAGGAATGCATGGCAATTGAATAATTAATTCTCTGACTACTTGTACTATGCAATCTAACGACTGAAATTATGATGAAGATTCGCACAACTACTGCATTAAACAATTACATTGCACAGAAAACAACAAAGGCACAATGGTTATTCACTTCGCCAATTTTCCGGCTAAATCCAAAGCATCCCAACGGAAAATTGAATAATATTTGCATTTGCGGCACAGAGTTGAATATGCTCCAGCCTAAAGAAAGCACTATGCAAGACGACACAGACATTACGCTATCTACTATCTACCATCAAACACACTTAATCAACAAAATATTGCCTATATTGTATCAACAATCTTAAATAGGGAGAAACGCAACTGAACAGTATATAATTAAACAAATACTGTTTTTGATGTTTTTCTGTATAGAAGGGGTGACAACTTTAAAAAAAACTGTAAACAAACAAAATAAAATACCATGGAACGAATAACACTATCACAACGGTTAGAGACAACAACTCGCATACAGGGCTCTTCCTTTTCACCTTGACAGAAGTAGCTTCCAATCTCACATGCCCTCTCTAGCCATAAAATTATATGTAGTAATAAAACTGAACCAACAACAAGGTAATAAAACATGTTCCACAATCATACAAAATGAGCCTTTAGAAATGGCTTACTGGTTTGTGCTGCACTAGAGTTAATTTAGAAATATATTATACTGGTCATGTTAAGAAAGTAACATCCGCACAGTTCTCATCTTTGTGCACCTATTGCAATCATTTTCACTTTAGCAGTATCACTGGACTGCATAAGTACGAGTTACCTGATCAATACTGCTCTGCTAAACAGGTGTGTAAGCATGGGTGTATTTTTTTCAGCTGTTTGATGATAAATTCAGCAAGGAACCTGACCAAAACTTGCCACGTAGCCAGTTCTTATTTTAGATGGAATATACCAAGAGCGTATAAAGAAGGAGAGCGTACAACGGTGAAATGCTGAAACCATATTGCAGTATTAGTCGAATTAATAAACTTTTCTCCGTTTTATTTTGACGATTCTTTGCAGTATTATTGATCAGCTGTCCTACCTTGTTAATATAAAACAAACCGCATGTCCCTACGATGCCCCTACGCTGAGATAATGAGCGGTGAAAATCTGGTATTTTCGCCGAAAACCGACTCAAGATACATGCTGACTGCGACTGTCTCTCTCTTTGTGGCCAGTGTGTTGCTTCCGGTCGTCGCTGTGTAGCGCCATGGTAGCGCTGACTCACGTCAGTACTACAGAGTTTACTATACATCCAGCCTGAGGTGGGCACAGGTGGGGGTCCTCACTATGGCATTCAATAACAGATGTCATTCATTCCATTTGTCAATCATTGACGGAAACACGCGAGGTTTCCCGAAGTTATCTCAAAGCGAGAGACAGTCCGAGTCGCAGTCAGCAGGTATCTCGAGTCGGTTTTTGGCGGCAATACCAGATTTTCACCGCTCATTATCTCAGCGTAGGGACATGCAGTTTGTTTTATATTAACAAGGTAGGACAGCTGATCAATAATACTGCAAAGAATCGTCAAAATAAAACGGGGAAAGTTGATTAATTCGACTAATACTGCAACATGGTTTCAGCATTTCACCGTTGTACGCTCTCCTTCTTTATACGCTCTTGAATATACCTATTATTATTAACGATGGGTAGTACCTGACGTAACATGTACAAAAGTGCCATATGATTTACGATTTTGACGTAGAGGAATACATATATATAAAACCATGACGTCTGAAATTATAGATGAACCTGCTATCAGTAAATGAAGTTACACCAGTAAATCCATTGTGGAAATTTCACCTATTGCGAAGCAATAATAGAATGTGAAATATCACAGCCTCTCAACGTTAAAGAGAGTTTTGAGCTACATATATACACATATTTAAATATATGTGTGCGTGTCTGTGTATGTATCCTCAATAATCAGGAAAGATATGATGTAAACAGCTAATCTTACTAGGATCAAATTGCAGAATGTTTTATCGCCTATAAATGGTCTGATAACTGAGTAATTTGTCAGATGGCATCTTCTAGAATGTGTTATAATAAAAAAGGTGGCAGAAGACAAAACACTGCTATTTCTCACCGAAATTGGTCAAGTAAAATAAAACAAACACGTGGATGTCTATATGCAAGAATATGTACAAGCATCTATCAAAATTATTCTTTGGATTATACCACACGTTTACCAAAAATTTCCTGTACAGACCAACAGAGGGCACTCTCACTACTCTGCAGCTGGTACAGTTGCCTCTGTCTCACTTGGTCCCACTTCGCCTTTCTCTACCTGTTATCGAGAGATAATCAGACAAAATAAACACTATACTTACCAGAGAAGTACTTAGATTCAGCAAAACTCAATTAAGTAAGTGTGCAGTACCAGAGGAACAAAACAACAGGAGGGTAATAACTATACACAGGTAGGGGTGTAACGATTCACCGATCATTATACACGATACAGCGACCCATGATACGATATCATCAGGAGTCTATCAATATTGATACTCCTGATATCATGCGAGTGGAGCTGTCAATTATAGGCCAGTCTAGAGCACATTCAGAATGTCTCAGTGTGTGTGAGCCATAGAAATATTTGTATAGTAACTGATTGTTTACTATATATATATGAGTATGGCTTAGATATACTCATTAATACGTTATGAAAGTATTGGAATACATACTATAACAGTAAAATAACATTAGGATTCGACCATTCATGTCGATTGACACTTTCTGTCTGTGTATCACATTATGTAGCGTATCGTGACCTGTGTATCGAGATACGTATCGTATCATGACCTATGTATCGAGATACGTATCGTATTGTGACCTATGTATCGAGATATGTATCGTATCGTGACTCTATTGTATCGTTACAACACTACACACCTACCACCGACACACAACCACTATACACAGGTGAACATTTATCAACACACGTCGTCAATTTTAGTCATTTTGTCGTGAATCCATTTACCTGCTAATTGAAATCATTATTTCACTTAATTAAGCTAATATTAATAATTAAATATGAATTTCAGCAGACATCCGCTTGCAGTCATGTTCCAACACGTAGAGCAAGGCTACCTAGGAGATAATTCCCACCTTTGATTTGAGATCAGAATTCTCCACCTGCAGCATTGCCACTTGTTCCCTCAGCTGTTCAATTTCCAGTTTCAAGCTCTCCATGTCTGCAGCATCAGGACCAGTCGCTCCAATTCCCTTCTTGAAGAAGCTGAACACCGAGGTTAAGTGTAAACAGCTATTTACCATTTATACAATATAATATAATATAAATATGTGACTGTATAAAAAGGTGGAACTGTACATTACTGTTTTTGTTAACTCTAATGAATACTGCAAATTGTTAAATGGTTTTTGCTGCACTACACATGTTAGTGAGATGTGGAGAGAATGAGAATCTTTCCCAGCATCACTGATGCTTTGCATTTCAACTTCATCTAATATATACCAGTTGACAAATGCTATGGGGTTTCATTGATCAGATTATAACAACATTATTAGCAACGTTTGTCTGCAATATATATTTAATAACATAAATGCCAGGGACAGTCCACCAAGGACCGGTCAAAAATGAAAAGGATACTCCAAAGGATTTTCGGGCTTTTCAGGTTCTTCATATAGTGAAACCAAAACTAAAAAAAAAGAAAAGAATTAATGTTCACGTCAAATCCACACACCATAACTACAAGATTTTGCCACGAGGGCTTGCTTCCAAGTTGTTCCATCAGCAAAGAATGAAACAACTCGGAATCAGCACACAGAGACACAATGCTGATTAATTTTGTTGTGTTCAAACCTCCCATCTCAAATACAAAACAGATAAATGTCACTATATATATACTAGCATATACGTGTCTAGTGTGAAGTGATATAAACTATATAGAGCTTTAGATGGACGATCCAGAGAGACCGGATACAAGATGGCCTTGCGCAAAAGATGCGTTGTTCCCCGACCGCCGAAAGCGGTTAAGCCGCGCACTTCCGCGGGACTGGGCGCACGCGACCGCGGGATGTATAGCTATAGCTCCCCGCTATACGCATTCGCGCGCCGAAGGAAGGTTCAAGGTGGCCCCCAGCCAGGTAAGCGCGCGCGAATTGAGTATAGCGGGCAGACCTAACATCGCCCGCATTTTATCGGGACGTACATCGGCTCGGCTTAATCGCTTGGAGGGGGGGGGGCTTTCCGATTTATGGATTGACACGCGTTTGTACACTCCTCGCCGTCGTACGTCACCTGCCCGTATTTTTCGTACCTTTATCTGGCGTTTTCCCACTTATCTTTCTCTCTTTTCTCCACTCCCCACAGTCGTCTCTCTTTCTCTTCTCTCGCTCTCGCTCGCTCTGCCGCACGGGTTAATAAGTATCTATATACATGCATCAATGCTGCCGCAGCCAGCCACACAGCACTGCACTGTACTTGCAGCGTTTCAATAAAATGTAATGCTAAATAAATACAAGATCTATTTACTACGAAAGTCACGGCGGCGGCAAAAACTCCGAGCCAGCTCCACGTGAGCGCGGGGGAGGGAGGGAGGTGGATATTGTGCCGCTCCGCCGTCTTCCTAAAAACATGTGCATATATATATTTGTGTGTCAGTGTGGCGGCGTGCAGTGCGCAGTGCAGTGCAGTTCTCAGTCTAAACAACCATCAATCACTGAGGCCTGCGGGGTCCTAAGATGGCTACGATAATTACACTGGGACGTGACGATTCGAGCTAGACTCGTACGCACGTTAACTCGGCCAAGTCTGTTTCGCTACACCAACGTTATATTTAGTGAAGCGTCTGAAACTCTCCACCGCGCAGCAGTCTAAGCCGAATCGCCGGTCCTTGTGTGGAAAATTCTGTGGAAAATCCCTCGAAGAGAGCCTCGTCGCGCCATCTATGGGACGCCATATGTACGAGAATAAGTTCAGGGCGTAAAATTCAATAAATTGAAAATCGCTTTTCTACAGGAAAACCTAAAGCGCCCACCATAAAACTACCAATTACGAGCACTCGGATTTATTCTCGCCCTAAGTGCAGAGTCGAAAGGCTTCTGCAATCGCCACAACTCCTCAATTGACCGATTATGCGGCTTTCTGTAGTACCCAGAGGGCTTCGAGTAGTTAGTTCTACATAGAGGGCAGCGAATTGGATCAAAAGGCGCCGCAAGGCGGCGCTGTTCGCGCTTCGCGCGTATATCCGGGCTGCAGATCGTCGAGTTTGACATAGAATTATCTGCATTGTACACACGTGCATTATTACATGCACACACCACTCGGTGTGCACTCACTATATGTAGTGTTACAGCCAATGCGATTTAATGATGTAGTTAGCATGCATAATTGATCATTTCAATTCAATAAGAAAAAAATTAAATAGTAAGATGATGTTATATGTAATTGTTCGCACAGTGTCTCAACAGAATGTTCCTTGCACATGATTATCCAATACAGCCAGACAGCAGCATTAAAATACTACGCAACCAATCGTTTAACAGTTTGGTAAGTGGATGGGGAAAAAAACATCTTGATCGCAGCCTACGTAATACAGCCATGCCTTTTAACATTAATAATTAACCAACCACTACGTATTTTATGTATTTAGTTGGCATGATCTAGGATTCTAGGGTAATCACAAGACATAATGAACATATGGATCAAACATCAAACATGCATGCGACATTGGTTACCTTTTGTCAAGGCATCAACTAGCCCAGCATTTTCCAAATATTTCCTGAACTCCTCCCGTCTGGAATCATTTCCTACCTAAAATTAAATGCAACAATTGCTTTGTATAATATTTATCTAATACCTGAACTATATATTCAACTATACATGTGAATATATAGAAACACTGCAATGTAGCCATACACTTGGTTTCACCATATTCTTCAATGAAATACGCCATAAAATACTGTTGCAAGTTTTGTTAAGTTTTCTATGCTGTTTATGAAAGATGCATGGTGTTTTGTTTGCAGTTGAAAATTGGCATGCTAAGTTTATATGGTCTATATATGTGCACCCTACTAGTACATCCAAGTATCAACTTGATGAGCAGTACACCATCACCTGTATATTTTGTTGATATGGGTTCTAGGCCTTAAAAATACTGAAAATGGCAAATAGTGAAAGAGGCAACTTTCTCACTCAGATGTACTATACAATTTGTAATTTATATAGGATATAAACTGTGCTAGACGTGATGCGGCCATGATGCCGAGGCGCGCCGAGGATTGACACTGTCTTCCAATCACAGCCTACGCCGCACCTCTCTATAATATAATATAAGGTGGGGACCCATCACAGTACCAAATCGCTGATCTCAGGAACTAGGGCATTCTGCTAGGCTAGACCGGTTTCCTACGATAGAGCACAAAAACGAAAATAAAATAAGGGCCCTTATTAGTACTTATTTTTGGTGAAATCTTAAAAAAGTACTTATTATCTCTGTTCTGTGTCTGTGTGTCTGAGATTTGTGTAAGCCCCATAATGTAAGTAGAAATAACCATGTAATAATGAAGTTAAATATTCAGTAGCTATTTGGCCATAGTTTCCCATATGAGATGTGCAAGTTGAATTTCATCAGAACAGATTTTGTTTTTGAAGTCTGCAATGCTGTACAGTGTACGGGTGTCGTGAACACCGATCTGTCACAAGCGGTCCGATCACAAGCACGTAATATTACGTCGTCCGCACAGAGTGCAAACATGCGTAGAAATAAGCGATCACAACCACGCAATATTACCTGGTCCGCACACAGTGGAAACATGCGAAGCACGTAATGTTACGTGCTACGCAGCCAAGTGGTTAATCAGTCGCCCGACCTACCAGCCCATTCAGATCTATCTATATTCTAACTTTGGAGTCCGTATCATCAACCAGTACTGAGTACATAGCATACAATAAAACATTTCTGTGTGGTGTGTGTATTTCACTGTGTACTTGTACTGCCAAACAAATGGTTAATGTGTTACGTGTAAGCATGATTGCACATGTATTTGTATTGACATCTCAACCATAAAAAACAAACATGTGCAACAACTAAACTCTCCATATAACACCTTACACATAACACTACTGGCACTGCACTTGTAACACTAGATACAATAATGTAACCCAAACCCAAGAGGATAGGGTTACAAAGTGTCCCTATCCTTTTCTGCGGAGGAATGCCCGAGTGAATCACTCGGGCCGGTTTGCTGGTGCGTTTTCAGATACTAGAACTTCCAAACTGGGTTTATTCTAAACAGGAACCTTTCTCCGCTATTCGGGAACTTACAATGTATCGCAATACTCTGTATTAAACTAATATAACCTGTTACAAAAATTCGAAGTGACGAGCGGCGAATATACTGAGCGCCATTTCTGTTGACCTGTGACGTACGCATTTCCCAATGCGCATAGCGATCGGCAAACGCAGCGCCCTCCGATTGGTCGGTGAATCCACTCTTCAGTCTTCAAACCGAAGTACGTCACAGGTCAACAGAAATGGCGCTCAGTATATTCGCCGCTCGTCACTTCGAATTTTTGTAACAGGTTATATTAGTTTGATACAGAGTATTGCGATACATAGTAAGTTCCCAGATAGCGGAGAAAGGTTCGTGTTGAGAATAAACCCAGTTTGGAAGTTCTAGTATCTGAAAACGCACCAGCAAACCGGCCCGAGTGATTCACTCGGGCATTCCTCCGCAGAAAAGGATAGGGACACTTTGTAACCCTATCCTCTTGGGTTTGGGTTACATTATTGTACCTATTGTAACACATGCATCACAGTCACTAAGCCCGCGCGTAGCGCGGGTTTCAGCTAGTTGTATATTAAAGTAATAACAACAACAACAACAACAGCAACATTATACCTTGAAGGATGCCATGTCAATTAGTTATCAAATATATGCAGCACGAGTCACGTTTATATGAACGTGAATTACAACTATGAAATAAAATGAAATTCGAGAGAACAGAAATTTCGTAGAAGGCGGCTGATACCATGTGGCGCCACCTGTGCCATATAAAACAAGTGAGCTGTTCGTTTGAGAAGGGAGACAAGAGTAATTTTGTGTGCATATGTTAGAAACAATTTCCAGCACAAAACGTTAGCTGTCATGTACATCTAGCTACGTTTAGCAATGTGGCTCATTATATTGTGTAACATAGCATATACTAAATTTACTGGAAATGTGTTGCTTAGGTGGGAAAGCCGTTAGCGCACTAAGACAGTGGCCTTATGTTTCAACATGTCTGCGCCCGTTGTCATTGACATTGGAAAGACATGTTCACCCAACGTCTGCTTACTTTACATCACGACGACCGTTGAGCTTATGGGGTTCTTCAAAGACAGATGATTGGAATAAGGCTATGTCTGAAGCAGAAAAGATTGTCGGATACCCAACTTCTTACTTGAGTCTCCGATGCTTGCTAAGTGACGAAATGTCGAATGTTGCACTTCACGTCCGGCGTTTGGTTGGAACTAAACACCCTCTTCTCCAAACTGCCAAGTAAGTGAGATACTGTGCAAGTGTAACAAGTCTACAAGACAATAGATATGCATTTAAACAAGATATTTAGGTTGACACTTTTCTACAACTACAAAAACATTATAGTTACCTTGTCCATATCCAGTGCCTATCTATATTCAGTCTATATCCAGTGGCAATGCCAATGGCAGTGCAGTGGACACCGACAAGTATAAGAACATAACATAACAAGTTAGCGTGGGTAGTCCTTAAACATAATGTTTAAGCACAAGTGAACATTAAAAATTTATGTATGAATATATTTGTATACAACTACATGTAGTGATGCACCTCACAGGTAATGGCTCGATTATATCATTGCAAGTCCTTTTCCGTTACATTTTTTTTTAGGCATTTGATATATGATGGGAAAAATGGCCTCCAGACCAGAGGTCTAATTGTTCTCCTAATGGCTAAAACTGCCGGACGTCCAAGCTCAGATGGGTATGACAAGGATTTATCAAATCAGCAGCAACAAGTCAATGATGCAAGCAGTGGCATTACTGAAAGGTACAGCCTGCTGGAAAATCGAGTACAGCATTAAGTAGCAGTGTTAACAGACTGATTTAATATACATGGTGTCATTTTCTCATTACTACAAAACTGCACTATTGCACTGAAAACATATACTTTTCCTCATCTTGTACTCCCAATTTTTAGGCAACGGCAACTTGCGGAAATAACAGAAGTTATCCACACTGCATACCTCATCCACAAGGGAGTAGTGAACCTGGATGGATTGCAAGCAGCAGATGGAAGCTGTCGTGACATGGAGTTTGGAAACAAAATGGCAATCCTGAGTGGAGACTTTCTACTTGCCAGTGCTTGCAGAGGATTGGCTTCACTTAGGAATACAAAAGTTGATCAACATACTTCATTATTCGTATCTTTATGCTTTTGCCTAGTCAATTAGGAAACTGTGTGGCGCTAAAATCATTTCTACACTAGTTACATCTCTTAACGCTGTGTAAATGGTAGAGATATGATTGCAAAGGTATGTCAATAATTCATTAACAGGATGCATGTATTGCCTAGTCTCTAAGGAAATATTTGTGCGCGTAGTACTAAAAATATTGCTGCATAAATTACAATTGTGGACACTTTTCAGGTGGTAGAGATGATCTCCACATCCATTGGGCACATGATGGAAGCAGAGTTTGCATTGTCTCGTGATAGACTCAACAATCCCCTACCCTCGCTAGACATAACCATTGATACCTGGCAACAAACTACGTTTAATGCCTCAGCGAGTCTCGTTGCCAATAGTTGCCAGTCTGCTGTAGCGCTGGTAGGCCATGGAGAAGAAGTGCAAACTCACGCGTACGAATATGGAAAGAATATGGGTTTTGCTCATCAGGTTTGTAGTGCAGATTGAATAGGTTTGCAAACCACATGTTTATCTAAGTACATGTGTGGTCTAATGTGACTTTCCAACTTTCAAAAAATTGATGTATAGACAGAAAACCAAGAGCAGAATCCAGTGAATGTAGGTTTGTTTAGCATGGTGCGCGGTTCCGACCTCATTTGTAAACTATTCTTTCAAAGTCCTAGAAAGACTTTAGAAGTGCATTACAAAGACACTATACATTAATGACTGCATGCTTGAATGATGTTAATATACAGCATCTCGTTCTATTTTGTTGTTGCAGCTACATCTAGATTTACAGTCATTTGAAGAGGATGATTGTGGCCCCGCAAGTTTGCATTCTGCACCCACTGTCTTCCTGCAACTGGAGAGTGCTGGCTCTTCACTGCTAAATCAGCTATGCAAAGTCACCGAGGCATCTGCATTCAATTACAGAGAGGTAAGAACTGCCAGTGCCTGTAAAAATAAATTGTTTAGAAACTATAGAGGGAAATAGGGTTCACTTTCCTTGTAGAAGTTTAAAGCAGTTATTTAAATATTTTGTTGCAACAAGGTTATAGCTATTAGTGAGCATATGGGTATAATCGTAAATATATTGTATTTTAATAATATGGGTAAGTTTAACTAATATTATGTTGCATCTTAATAATGTTTTGTTATATAACCTTAAAGGACAATATCAGTAACTTCATGAATTGATTGTCATCATGTGATATTGCAGCTCAAAAAGCAAGTTTCGGTGAGTGGTGCACTAGAGAAGACCAAGGAACTACGGAATTTTTACAGCCAGCGAGCTCTCAATGCATTAAACCAGTTCTCTAAGTCGGATGCAAGTCGGTCTCTGGAGAGTATTATAAAAGTAATGTCTAATTCTTGACGTTGAGTGAAATCAATTGGTGTGGGTACCTAGTTGTTAATGTCTCATGGTGATTAATGTTTCTGTAAAGTGTAGTGTTATAGTATGAAGAGTTTAAAAATGTAGATCTGTCATGAAATTATTCTCCCTGAATCCCATGACTACCAACAGTTTACACAATTATTTGAGCCATTAAAAGATTCATATACAAAATGAATGCTCTGTTTGACATTTCCTTTATAATGGGTTTTAAGTCACAAGGCCACTCCCATATCATTGTAGTAATTATTCAAATATATTAACATAATAAAATATCGATGTAGTGTGATGTGATATCGATGATCTATGTTTTGTGACAGTGTATAATGAATTGGGGAAAAACGGGAAACTGATGTAACGCTACATGTAGCTAAACATTATTCCAAAATATATACTTATATTTATTCATATGAAGTATTCCTGCTCCACTTATAAATCACAAGAATAACAGATTTTATTCATCAGTTATGTTGCAGTCACAATCTAAATTCCATTTTTCAAAGACTCGACATTATCTAGACAAGATTCAGAAAATTAGTAAAATCCTGATTCCCTAGTCTGATCAATAGAAAACTGAAGAACAGTACATACTTAAAACTAGACTGTGTGCTGGTCACTTTTCATACTTCTCGTAATGCTCAATTAAAAGCATGTATTATTTGAAAGAATATTGAAAAGAATTGCGTACAGGAGACGTTTTCTGTAAAAATGATCTGATGTGACGTCCCGCCATCTAGCGGAAGAAATAATTATAAACATTAACATTACAACAAACGTCAACATTATGTACAGCAAATTAACACATAGCTTTTTCTTCTATCACGTTTAATCACCGTCTTTTAGTGCCACCATAAGATGATGTCCTCAGGTGGCATTCAGCATATTTGTTTGTCATTCACACTATATGTTCTTAGGTGTAGCTTGACAGTATTTCTATTCAGCAGTTTAGGAGGGGGGTGATGTTGCCCATGGTGCGGAGTCATCTATCCATCTCAGCAATAGCATTCCCCAGCCGAATGATGAAATCCAACTGATACATTTGCACACGAACCTCCTGTGGGTTGTTTGTAACAAAAAATCCTGGCACTCCTGCCTTCTCTAGTGTAACCTGTGAAACAAATCCACCCCCAATTAAAAGTCACGCATACATGGCTATTTTTGATGCATTCCATAGAAATCTCATATTGAGACATTTATAAGCCAGATATACATATTTGAATGTTGTAGTTACCTGTTGGTCACTGACTTTTTGGTCAAGTTCAAGTATCAGCTTCATATCAGTTCTGTTTAAATCGGCCTCATGCTTTTGATCTAATTCCTAAACACACATCAAGTTGTGTTATAAAATTTAGGCGAGTATATGTGGAAATATACATATACCATTACTAATATAACCTGCATGACCAAAATGTAGTCCAGATATTGCAACACCGAACTCTCTATGTAGTAAATACTGCCGACTATGAATGACAATTTAATAATTTATTAGATGACAAAGATTAACTTTGTGTTTACAGTATATGCCAGTATTACAGCACTTTATACAAGGGTTGCCTAAGTTACTCAGCTTGCTACCACTCAACAACGTGGCTACCTGCTGCACTAACAGCTTCAAGTTTCTCACCTTCAGATCTTTTTGGAACTTTGCTTCCACTACCGGTATGTTGTGAGGCCGGCTCATGGATGCCTGAATTGCCTCTTTTTGCTTTTTCAAAATGTCCTGTCTGTTAGCTAAAATGCAAAATCCAGAATGCACTAAATCAGTTATAAAAAAACAATTTCTTCATTAAAAGTGTACCAGATTAGCCATTCAGAAATTTAAAAAGCAAATGCAAACACCCAATTACACAAAGATTATCAACATTGCAAATTCGTCCCTTTTCTCAAGTTCATTTACTTTTGTAAGTATTTAGCAGAGACATCCGCTGGTTGAAAAGATTTCTTTCAGTCATCTGTTGAATTTCGGTTAGTCCATGAACGATTTGAAAGACAGTTCCATCAAGAAGGGCACTTGCTAAACCGGATAGCAGATCATAAGGAAGTCGTTGCTGGTACTTCCTAGAAGTATAAAATCAAACAAAAGCAGAGTAGAAGTCAATGTGTCAATCATCATTCACATTAGTAGGTAATATGTGCGATTGCTGTGCACTGCAGCACAGGCAGTAGAGCAAATGGGCAGAGTAGGTACCCATGTTGTAGGTACCACGCTGATTGTATCAGGGGTAGATAATGACAAATCATTTTGTCATTATAATCATTTCTCATTATCTATCCCTGATTGTATATTGCAACAAACATGGGTGGTGTAGGTATATATCTATATATATAAAGTTGTTCAGCCGAATTAGTCCATACTCGTATAGAGGAAAATTAAAGATATTTTCAGAATCAGCACGTCTGGCAGGTGGTTCTGGCTGAAACAAAAATTTAAAAAAGTAAAAAAGTTAAAAATTGATAAAAATTCGATTCATCAATAGATGGCGGTGCGTACATCACGTATGTGTGAATCCATGGTGTATACCCTTAATGGCACAGTGGCCTAATCGCTAGAACATCCGTCTCCTACACCGGGATTCCGGGTTAGAGTCCCAGCTGTGGAACTTATTCTCCCCTTTTTTCCTTTTTTTCCCTTTACCTACCTCTTTAGTATGTATTATTTTTTACTTTTACTTTTGAATTTTTAATGTCTTATCTTTTGATTTCTTATTATTTTTTCACTGTTTGGGATGGGATGGGATGGGATGGCATGCGATGGCATGGGATTGGATGGGATGGGATGGGATGGGATGGCATGGGATGGGATGGGATGCGGTGGGATGGGATGGGATGGGATGGCATGGGATGGCATGGGATGCGATGATATGGGACGGGATGGGATATGGGATGGGATGTGGTGGGATGGGATGGCATGGAATGGAATGGATGGATGCATGGATGGATGCATGGATAGATAGATAGTTTTATTTTTTTGGGTATTTTCCTTTCAACCAAGCGGTCACCAACTGAGTAACGCCACTGATTTCCCCGGGCAACGCCGGGTATCCAGCTAGTATATATAGATATAGATATAGATATAGATAGAATAATATAGACCAAAACAGTAGACCTAATATGTTAGATTCAATAGGATAGCTATCAATAGGTGGAGTAATCCCTTATTTCTTACGTTACAATTAATATATGGTATCTGGATGGAAACAACCCTAGTTTGACCCTCCCCCCAGAGGGGTATACCCCGCATAGTGATGTATATATATATATATATATATATATATGTGCACCGCATTATTGCCCCCCCCCATTTTCCGTTTCCTTGCCATTTTTTTGCCCCCCAAATTTTTTCCTAACCATGTTTTTCCCCCCAAATTTTTCCTTTGCCATCTTTGTGCCCTATATATGTTTTCACCATTGAGCCATCTTTTTGCCCCATGTTAATAATTTTCACCGACGAGCCACCTTTTTGCCCCATGCTTTCACTGTTGAGCCATCTTTTTGCCCCATGTTTTCACCGTCAAGCCATCTTTTTGTCCTGTTTTCCCATTTCGGTGGAGCACCCCTACCCCTAACCCGACCAGGCTGTGCGACTAACGTCAATACACCTATTCTAACCCTAGCAATACCGTTTCTTGGAGCACCCCTACCCCTAGCTCTAGGACTATAACCTGCGCGTACAGTTGCCAACTTGCCACAGGGGCCGCCTGCGGCGATACCGCCTGTGGCAACTGTACGCGGGCTATAGTCCTAGAGCTACCCTACACCCACAAAATGCGAGTACCTCCCCCAGGGGTTTGGCATAAACTAGCTAGGATATTGCATTGGGCCTCCTGTAAGTATGTACACGGTGTCCAAGCAAATTATCTGCGTGTACCTTGGTACATATATGTAGCTTACGCAGGTAGTTCTCCGGCCATGTCTTGTAGTTGACTGAGCATAAAGTAATGCTTCTCCTGCACTACCTTTCGATCTGCCTCTTTTCTCTCAGTGTCATTTGAGATGTTATCATCTATGACCATATCTGGGATATACTGCTGAGACATGACACTCACACTGACACGTACGTCAAGCAAGCGCGTATGACTGATAGTGATAGTGATATTAATTAATTAATAATAATACGTTGAAACATAACTCAACATCACTGTTTCACTTTCAGTGTCTGTGCTGGTGGCTTTTCATACTACTGCTGGCTTACTGCACTTGTTACTTTGCACTGAGAACATACGATACAACATTACACAATATAACTGTGTAATAGCCTACTACATTGTATATAAAGTCTGCGTTCTTGTATTGTTGTTGTGGCTTCCGTTACCTCTACCCTAGATCTCAGCGCTTATGTTAGATAACGAAGACACAAAGAACGTTGTATAACTGCTGCGTGAGCATGGAAATATAGGGTAGAGGCACAGTGGTAGAGGCACAGAGGTACGCACGAGGGGGCGCCTCGCTCGACCGTGAATAAGGTTTTGGGCGACATGTTTGGGTCCGCGCCGTATACGGCTTGTATACGAACAACGACCGTATAATGCTCAATCCCTGCTGCCTTTCGCCTGCCTTTAGTGGAGCGAAGGGCTACACGGCAAAAGCTAATATTTATTTAGAGCAGGCGCTCCTCGCTATGCTAGCCACACACACATGTACAATGATACATACTCACACACGCGCATGCAAACACACATACACACACGCACACGCACCAAATACGCACATGCAGCACACAATACACACACGCACATACACGCGTGCACACACGCGCACACAAACAACCACACGCATGTAATATGGAGCCCAGGCCCTACTACAAGAAAGACGTGACTGCAATCGAAATGGTACGGCATAGAGCAATATCAGGCAAACTGTGGCTTTTCTGTTTTCACCACTGACTGTGGCAAAAATATCCAAACAGAAGTAAACTAATTAAAAAAAATTCAACTTTTACGAAGCTGCTAAAATGTACAATTCTTTTGGACTGTTATCATTACGAGAATACATGTACCGTGTTCTTTGGTGGTACAATTAAAGACCCTAATATAGCGCACATCACCACCTCACACTCACTGATCTCTATAATATAATCTAATATACTCTCATAATATAATCTAATATAATCTAATATACTCTAATATATCTATAATACTAATATAATCTAATATACTCTCACTGATCTCTATAATATAATAGATTATATTATAGAGATCAGTGCTCACACTACGCGACGCATAACGCGCCGCGAACTAGCGATGGCGCTGTGATCGACCCGCCTTGGTGAGTAAGTTAGTTGTCAACATTTAGCGATTTACTTAGGTAAGTTTCCGTTTTCTTGGTATTTTACTCATAATACTATTATTAGAGTAGGTAGTCCGGTTGGTGTTCGCCTGATTTCGGTTAGTGAGTATCCTTGGTCCTTGATCTAAGCTCTTCTGAGCCGTAGTGTTCTCTCTGAGTAATGCATGTGTGAAAATACACAGTGACTCACAGTCACAATGCCAATGTGAGTGTAAACACACAGAGCGGTATTGTGCGGTAATGTATCTTACGAATTTGAACTGATTCTCTGATATGAACTCTAGCCTGGGCCTAACCCCAACCATAACCCTAACCTATTATATTGATATAATATTATATTTATATTGATGTAAATGACATTGGTTTTATTGGGCCCCATGTTCTCTATCCTTGAACCCTAGCCTGGAGTCTAGTACAGCACGAAGGGTCGTTGTCGTAACAGGTACTACAGGTATGTCGAGGTAGTTTATAGGTGTTTAGTATTATGTTTATATTTTTATATTGAGGTATGTTTAGGGTTAGGGTTAGAGTTAGGGTTAGGGTTAGGGTTAGTGTTAGGGTTAGGGTAACTCTGTCAAGTACAAGTCTGGTACACTTTGTGTATACATATATGTACCTCTGGGTACATATCTGAGTACCTGTTACGACAACGACCCCTTGAGCTCTAGTTACAAGACTGTCAGGAGCATAGAGTGCTAGTAGTAGTAATACTATGCCCTACTTGGTACTACCTAGTCTAGTACTAGTAGTAGTGTACTGACATTTACTGTATACAGTGTATAGACTGTAGTACGGTACTATAGTATTACTGATATACTACCCTAGTATTACTATTCTATTAGTATTAGTACTACTAGTACTATGCAGTATATAGTACTACTAGTTAGTAGTACTACTAACTACTATAGTAGTAGTAGTAGTAGTAGTAGTACTAGTAGTATTACTAATACTACTAGTACTAGTCGCTACTGACTAGTGTCTATATCAATTTACACATTTAATCACCATTAAAGCTAATATGGCCCATGATTATGCAATTTTAACGAATGCTAGAGTAACTGGCACCTTGTGTAGTTAATAAGTACATTACCTTATAGCCAAACGCGTAATTCGTTTGTCGCAATATCATGCTGGTTACTAAGAAATGTCTAATTGAAATCCACAGTCCACGGAAATCAGTTGACTGACTTGTTTACAGTTTGAAACCCACTACTTCGAAACGGGTGTGATACGATTTATAGTCCACCGGACATTTTCGCACGCATGCAAAAACGCACGCACGCATGCATTTTCGCTCGCGTCGTACGCCAATGCTAGCGATAGTACAGTACCGTAACTGTATCTACGTAACAGTAGCTCTGATTGTAATGAACGTGGAATCCACGTACGAACACGGACGCTCGCTGATAATGAAGTAGGCTGTGTTGGGGGCCAACGCTATGGGAGGATCGCGGACTAACCACAGGCACAGACTAAACATGGAAAGCAGACGGGCACTACGCGTATTTTTTACGTATATTGGTCAAACGAATAAACGCTGTGTCTGAAATTGAAGACATGTGGGTACCCGTTCATTAGCACGCCAGCTGTTATTTACTGTGCCGCCAATACGGAGAATACAGCCAGAGATACATTCTACTAAGCTCATTAGTCGTATATAAGCATCCGGGACAAACAATTCTCTGCTAAAGCACCCGTAGCACATGTGACGTTGCCTAACCGAATTCGAGGCTATTTTGCTTGAACCAACGTTTAGCGTTGGCGCCAGCATTACCAGATTTACGGATTTCAATTAGACATTTCTTAGTAATTAGCAGTATATTGGAGCAACTAATATAAACGACGTTTTGACTATAAGGGTAATGTTACTTATTAACTACAGAAGGTGCCAGTTACTGTAGCATCGTCAACTGGATAATCAATGGCCTATTATGCCTTTAAGGCCAAGACACACTGCAGGCGACAGCGACCGACCGTAAACGACAAACGACAATGTCGCGGCGACTGCGCAGCCACACTGGCAGCGAACAACGACCGACCGAACGACAAAGTTCACCAGCACTCACCAACAGTGCACTCAGTGAGCAACGGCAAAAATACACTCTGCTGCTGCTTTTACAATAATGCGCTAAAAACGCCTCTATGTCTAACGAGAATATAATAAAGTATATATACGCAGGCCAGCAATTAATTATTATACGCAACCGTAAACAAATATACATGCGCCGCCTGCACGTTTTGGTTAGTGGGTTCGGGGCCCCACTGTTTCTGACAGGCGGTGGCGAAGTTAGCGCTGGGACCAGTCTACTTCCTGGCCTAGCATTGGTTTATAATGTTTATGACGTAAAATGGCCGATGTCACGTGCCGATGGAAACGGCTGTGTGCCATTTTAAAGTGACGCCGCGACAAGTCCCCACTGAACATAGAAACGTTTGCTAAATTATTTTGTCGTCGAGGGTCGGAGGATGTCGCCGGTCGTCGTCGCACGTCAGTGTGCAATGGCTCATTAGGAAACATCAGTTTCTAATTTTCTGAAAAAGTCGTTTGTCGTACGGCGTCGTTGTCCGCTGCAGCTGTGTATTGGCTTTATGGCATTGACATTCTTGCATCCTGATTTTTTCTATCGCGCAGATCATACACACTCCCAGCAATATACGGGGCTACAATTGTACAACTACAATATTTTTTACAATATTTCAGGCGGTTGTTTCGAAACTGTTGTTTAAAGCTGCAATGTAGATCATTTGCATCATTTTATTTGAGGTGTGCATATGTATATGAATACCTGCATCCGTTCTGCAGGTGACTAATAACAATTTTCTGTGGTTTCCTCATGGTAATCACATGTCGGTCTTATAATAATATTCGAGACCAATACGTAATAATATTGCATTTTGTTGGATTTGCTTGGACACTGGTGACCAAATTTAGTGAATGTTTAACTATGTATGTTTTTTAGGACAATCATTATATTGGATTACCATTGGATAGAGTTGCCTGCAACCATGTTTTCCAGTGGGCGCTGAGCTACCAGCAAACTAAAGACGAACCTGAGACTATCAAAAAGTCGACTAAAACTACTAGCGAAAAAGAAAACAGACTTACTCAAAGAAGCGGAGACGGGAAATTGCGATTATTTTATCAGGTATGCAATGTATGCGTATATTAGTAATGTATGTAATATAAGCAAGTAAATAATAGGGAAGGAGTGTGACTTAATAACAAAGGGAAATTTGTCATTTACTAGCCTTAGAATACCTACGATTTACTACGCCGTAACTCAAGCACACTTGAGCTCAAACCATACACAGTACATTCGCCTAGCATCGTGCGAAGTCGTTTCCTTGTATACATCCCGCAATCGCGATTTACAGACTAAACGACGACACGATTCTGCATTCTGTCCAACAAACCGAATCCATAACCCGCCTAACTTGAAACAAAAAGCAGCTACTAACGACTCTTGCGCCCTGCGTGCGATGCCGCGTGTGGCTCGCTGGCGAGATTGGAGCTGAGCTGCTGCTGTGATTGCAGTGGGCGCGTGGCGTGGTGGGCATACCAGCTGTAAATAGTTCAAAGATTAGCTCGCTGGTGTTGCGTCGATGTCCAATCTCCAGCGAGCCACACCACATTGCGAGGGGCCAAGAGTTATTTCAAGTTAGGCGGTTATGGATTCGGTTTGCTGCAACAGAATGGAGATCGTGTCATACGTTTAGTCTGTATCTCCGGATTGCGGGTGTATACGAGGAAACGATTTCGCAGATGCTAGGCGAATGTCTGTGTACGATTTGAGCTCAAGTTGGTTGAGGTACGCGTAGTAAATCGTAGGTATCTTAAGGCTAGTAAATGACGAATTTCCCTTGTTTATTGAAGTCACCACTCCTGTCGCCTATTATCTACTTCTGGTCATATATATATATATATCAAGAGTACCATAATAGAGAAGAGTATGACACCGTTTAACAGCGTTTTGCCATGGTTTTCATTGTAAATATTCTAATCAATATGTGCATAATATATTCAAACTTACCGCTGTTTTTGTCTATGATTCTCCCTTAATCATATGCAACCACCAATTTACCTGAAATCGTATTGTGTTCTTCAAAAAAAGTTCTTTGAATACGACACGGTTTCACACAGTTTTCACAAATGAGCGCATGTTTTTGGCGCATGTTTATTATGGGATTAGTGTTCTATTGTCTATGACGGAACGCTGGGGGGCTGCTGGGGAGATTAGGCATAGAATTGTATTCAGCGTTAGCGTTTCCAGCGTGCTAAAAATAAATGTGTGCTCACGGCGAGCTAGCAGCTGATTTTAGCTGCGTTGACATCGTGTTCCTCGATGATAAGGAAGCGAAACAAGTGCTGTTACTGTGCTTACCTAATATCCAGAACAGCCCCAGCATCCTGTCAGTTACAACCTGAACCTGGTTCTGCCGCCGCCATATCAACATGAGCCGAATGATGCGCTCATTTGTAAAAACTGTGAAACCGTGTCGTATTCAAGAACTTTTTGAGAACACATATGATTTTCAGGTAAATTGTGTGTGTCATATGATTAAGGGAGAATCATAGACAAAACAACGGTAAGTTTGAATATATTTATCCACATATTGATAGATATTTACACGTTGAAAACTATGCAAAACGGTGTCATACTCTTCTCTATTATTTACTCTTGATATAAATATATATATATATATATTATATATTAATATATATATATATATATATATCCAGGGTTTCTTATGACATAAAGAGGCACGTGCGGCACCCGTCTGTCAATTTAACTCTGCCGTTGGAAAATGTTCTTGCATTTACTGATAAGTATATCCTGTATCTATATACCTATAAGTATATTGATCAATACATCCTGTATTTGAATCCATCATGCGCCGTCTTTTTCCCCAAAACTGGCCATTACTTGCCAGGGTTCGACACTAAGCTAGTCCGTTAGTCCGAGACTAGTAAAAAACCAGAAGAGACTAGTAGATTCCCATAGTTAGTCCGGCGGCGA